TGAAGACGGGAGTATGCAGCGAATACCCGAAACGTTTTGTATATCAGATATACCTCATGCTATGGATAATGTCCAACACATAGTTCGCATAATGAATAAACCATTGTCACAAACATTTAGATAATCAGTACCATTCACCTCCTATCCTTACAACCTGTGTCCGTTAGGTATTAATTAATGCTATCCTCCAATCGACGTTTCAGTCTTTCAAGTGCTCGTTTCCTAAGAAATTTCTCAGTCCACCATAGCCCAAAATATATCAATAGTATTTATGTACTTGATTAAATATATATATATATAAATTAATTGATTAAGTAACCTATAGAGAAACGTTTGTGCTATTATTTATGGAATTATATTCTGTCCCCAAAAGATAAGAAAACACAAGAACTGCTTGATTTAGGACATTTCGATTCAGCCCTTGGACTTTGTAGATGACATTCTAAAGTAAAATTAAAAGAGAGTGGGGCAAGGCATCCCATTATTTTAGCCCATTGTAAACGGCGGTATGTGAGTCACTTTGTAATTATCTGACAGACTACTTGGAAGAACTGTAACTTCTTTAGACCGGTGTCTAGTAACTTCTAACATAGATTTTGTTAATGTATTTTTGCCATTTGCTTAACTCACGATTTACAAGCGAGGTTTGTGTTAAGATGGTTCGTGCGTCGAGTCTCTTGAACAGCAGTACTGTGTAAGAGTAATTTTGTTCTGTTCTAGACTACGCCATGCAAATATTTTGAATGCTGGATCGCTGCCTGTGTTGCTTAAACTAATTCACGCTTTTCATTAACTCATCAGTTACAGTCACGGGTGAAAATTGGTTTCTGGATTTAAAGCGATGCTCCATTAAGACGGTACGTTGACGTTCCGCTAATGGTTTAATTAGGTTAGAGTCGGATGCTAGTGCAAGTCGTGTTTCTGCTGACAGAAAACTAATTTGAGCGACCAAAGGCAAAAAGAATATAATTTTAAAACTTTTTAAGCGTCCTTTTATGTTTTAGAAATACAAAATCACGTACTGCCCCTCATTTGGTACTGGACCTACTGTGATCCACCGCTAATCCGTCATTGCCATTTGATGCTACGCTGTTTGAGTAGATCCTGGATGCTGCACCCACAGTAAAAAGTAATCTTACGTTGAAGGATGGTGTTACTGCTCAGATGTCCCTTTCAGAAACTGTTTTGGCGACTAGATAAACGTGATTTTCTGACACAACGTGATTATAATAGAAGGATTCGCAGATAATGGTACAGGGATTAATGTAAAGATTTTACTCCTTGATTTTTAATCTAGTTTTGGATAATGTCTGTTTGGAGGACGGATCCCCCTACTGGTTGAAGTGTAGGCTTACATATGAAGTGCCTCCTTAGCTTATACTTCGTATATAGTATAACTAAAGAACGTGAAAATATGATTGTACAAAGTACGACACTTTTTGCGAGTCTTAATTTAGGCCAAAATTGAAAATTTGCCGTACTTTATTGTACTTTAAATAAAAGTATGTAAAGACAGATGCAATGTGTACTGAGAATTTATGTTAGATAAAGGTCTACTGACATTGTTTCCGTACTTCATTTTACGCTTGTTATTGATAGGCTTTGTTCGATTCAAGTACGAAACAGACATTGAGGCCGTGAAAATTCTTTTTCGCCTTATTTACATCACTGTTATGAAGTTTGAAGCTGTACGTACTCTACACAAGAGCCCGCCCTTTGATCCTGGCCGTAGACAGATGAAATTAGTCCACACACTCACACCCAATTTGTTACAATCCTAAGTGGTCTCTCTTCTTCGGATTCCCCGACTGAAATTTTGTACGCGTTTCTCATATATCCCATACAGGTCACATGTCCCGCCCATCTCATCCTTCTGGATTCCGTTACCAACAATATTCTGCGAAAGGTACAAATTCTGAAGCTGCTCGTTGTGTACTTTTTCCATCCTTTATCAGTATCGATATTTACACGTAATAAATCCACCAACGTAAACAGAATTGTAGCAGCAGTATCCCGCAGAGCTACGATTATAATGTAATACTTCAGAATATGGAAAGCGTTACATGACGTTAACGGCCTCATAGTCTCGTCTGTTTGACTCTCAAGGAATCACTTATTAAACTTCCGTAATAATCATAATAAAATACGAACTGCACCGCTGTTGTCGAGGGTGAGAGTAATTGAGCAATTGAACCCCTGAATCAGCAAGATAATGAATAATGTATGTTTTCCTCGTACAAAGAACGTTAATGATGCTATAGCCGATGAAATCTTTTGTGGAAGAAACATAGACCTTCACGAATCAAATTTAACTTTAAAGTAGTACCAATCTTATAAAATATTACTGTCAACAATTTATTTGTAGTTGGCATTTAATGGGTAATCTTTATTTTGGATCTGAATTGAGGTAGACTTACATAATAACGCAAAGTTACGTAACAGTTAACTAATTCTGTCTGTTGTTTCATAATGTAGAAACAGATTTAATTGAAGATACTATTTTTTTGTTCTCCCTGTCACCACCACCCTCAGACCGACTCTGAGGCCCACCCAGCCAACCTTCGGTCCAGTCGGTATAACCAGAGTTTCTTTCCTTGGGGTTGAAGCGACCGGAGCATGGCTGTCCACGCCGGTATTCTGCGTGCTCCTAGTGAAAACTCGTATTAGACCTCTACTGCCCTCAGTTGACGCGCGGATGTACTTACCAGTTTAGTTTTACAATGATAATTCTGATAACTTTCCTAAAGTAACAGTTAATCAGTGTATGCTCAATAAACTGTGCAAGCGGACGAAAAACGTCAGCCAGTTCTCTGGCCTGGATTCAAACCAGGTTCTTCCAGATTAAAAATCATAGATATTGCTCAGCCTATGCCGACTAACGTTTGTGTTTTTATTCACGAATTGTTGAGGACTGGATGGGAAATTATCGTGGCCCATCTTACGACACTAACGCGGCATTTAACCGGATGATATCAGAAAACTGTTGACTGTCACACTGAGTTGAACATAAATTATATCTATTTGAAGGGGTGGATGACAGCAATAAGACCGTGATGTAGAGATGGCAACAGTAGAGGCATTAAGATGAATCATTACGAGTGACAAGAACTCCTCACTCGTTTGTAGAGTTATTACAAGAAACGAGATGTTGCTGTCGGTTAACAAGCTATGAGAGTGTTCTAATTCCAGAAAGCATGTTGAGAGCCATAAGGTAATTGGATGACATTTAACAGCTAACGACGAAGCACCAGGTATGCTGGTCCATACACAAGACGTCTTCGTTGTAAAGAATCTTCTGCCTAATGATGTTCATTGAAAGTAGAAGTGACTTTTAAATTGACGTTAGCCGATGAGTTTTATTTTGATCTGTGAAACTCAGAACTATTCAAAAATGACAAAAACAGGGAGAACAGATTGAAGGCTGAGGATTACGGAATTAGTTTACAAAATACGTTTATTGAAGATTAAATTAAGAGAAATATATATTAAGGAAATGTATGTTCAGAATTTTTTAATCGTCCGTTTGTATATCCAAAAAGAAACCCTCATGATTACAAATATTTAAAGTAGGGCTGTGGAGTCGGTACTAAAATCTCCGACTCCAACTCCTTCATAAAAGCTCAATATATATTAATAAGCGTAAACCTACTAAAATGGTAAATGGCACTATAAGAGATTTCATCATCACCACGTGAATCATCATCCTACTGTTTAGACTTATAACCTATATTTAAATATACGTTTAATGTTTATTGCAGAAATCTGTTGATTTGTAGACAGTTTGTATTCTTAAGGTACCGGAGCCAACGTTACAAAGCATTATTCCCACATCATGTGGCTCAATGCGTCGTTGAATCCCCTTAAGCGTGAGGCCGCCGGCGGCTCACACGGTACAGAAATTGTTCTTAAGATTTAATAAAGAGGTCGGAGTGTGTACATTTTTCCGACTCCGACTCCACAGCCCTGATATAGAGCACACATCATTGACATAGTGGATTCCAGGATTCAAAAGGATTATTTATTTATGTTTTATTTAACTATGCTATTAGTAGCTCAGACCGTATTGCCATCAAATTACAGGGTGATAATGAGTTGTAAAGACATCGTAAGTGTCAGACGGTGCAGCTTGTAAGTCTATAGTGTTATACGGTACTTTACAGGTAAAAGCATTTGCCTTTCACTCTGAGGGAGAAGCAAAATTTAGAAAAGCAATCTGACGAAAAGACTATTTGGCCCTAAGAGAAATAAATTGGGGCGTGGAGAAAAATTTACTTTCACCAAAATCTGTAAATATTGTTTGAATGGATACATCAGGGACACTGATGATGAGTTACGACAAAAGGAGAAAGAGCAATTCAACGAAAAATATAAAACCTTAAACTGGGTTGAAAGTGGGTTAATGTTAAAATGTACTATAAGGACAATGATTGTAAACATGTAAAACGGCTTAGGTTAACGCTCTTTTGTGGTATTTTGTGTTTATGGCGATGTACTGTCTGGTTCCTTAACAGCACGAAATATCTTGAATAATAGGCAGCATACCAACTCTTATATTAATTCCCTGTATCAGGCATACAATTGAATGCAACAAGTTATAGATTTGTTGGTATAAGTTGGTAATTGTGATTCTCGTACGTCGTAAACCATTATTAGTATTGCTTTGACATTACCGAACTAGATGGCGACGAAACAGCAGGACCCAACAAACCTGTAAGTGGAAGAGTGAAATAGAACTTAAAATAGGAAATAAACTAAAATTAAATCTGTATCAGTTTCTTATAAAAACAAGGAAGATAAAAAGGGGATTATGTTTAGTGATTGCAATTGTAAAGGAGGGATGCAAAATGATGTACATAGTAATTACAGGAATTGGAATTGTACAATAGGAGAGTATCACTGATAGAGGTAGATGCATTTGGCTGTGGACCCAAAATCCTTGTATTTGTTGAATGCAGTATCTTGTATAACAGAACTAAACTAAACAATTTTTTTTATTCCAGTGGTACCAGTGTGACACCGACAGTGTTCCAGATTGTATCCGGGCTCGATTCCTGCATCTGGGAGTTGATAAAGAAACGGAATTGTTTCTGGACCAATCCTCCCACAAATCAGGCTGGATCTTTACCCAGCTGTGGCACTCGGTTGCGAAAGCCTTTCTCGGCTGGTTCATGACTCAGACATCGATAAATGGGTGAGTATTAAGACATCCTTTCTTACGATACCGACTTAATAACATATGTTAGTAGCCGTTACCATAAGACGTGCCTGTTTCATTATATTGTACGAGTGTATATCGGAGCTGCATTCGCAGTTTTATCTGCGTTTTATCGGTGTTAAAAGATCATCACTGAACCCTGAGTGCATTACCCACAATACCACTCTTCTGTAGCATATTATATAAGCCCAATGAAATTACCAGAGTGTGTGTTTTCCGGCTAAACATTAAACTCTAAAGTTTACTTGGATGGCTTTTCCGATGTGTTGAATTATAGTCTGTTGATTAAATTTCGGCTCGTGAAAAAATTTAGTCCGATCGGTTACGTTATTCCTTTGCTTATAATAACAAGGCCTATTGTAAAGTTCTGTCTCGTCCGTAGTAGACATGTGCAAAGCGTACTGTAATCGAGAGAAAGTCTAAATGTTTATGAAAATGTAAGTTTTTGGCTCCAGTACACATAATTTGCTATCCCTATTAGTGTGAACGAGAAGATCGAATGGGTCCCATTACAGAATAAGTTTATGTGAGATTTTAGGTTTTTAAGGCGGTAAAGAGATGTCCTTCTGGGTTTTGACGCCGTGTTGACTGGTTGGTGGATGCTAACGTTTCGGAGAAACTTACTGTTTCCGTCTTCAGGGCTGCGTTGACGATGCTGGGAATCGGAGGGGTTGTAAAGGATGGCAGGAGGGGAAGTCTGGAGGACTCGCTACTCATGCTCATGTCGGGTTTAGTTTTGCCAGTGCCGGGTCCTCGGTTGTCCGGATACGATCTTTTCTTATATGTCAACACAATGACCGCGCAGAACACGAGTGATCAACGACACTCATTCGCCCCTTTTAAATCTTCACGCCCTTTTCGTAAACATTCTTCTGACTCACGTAGTTGCAGCCGTCATGAACTGTCATTCTTCCCTTAATTTCTCTAGTCTTTATAATCTGACCACAGAATATTTAAAAATTGGTGTTCTTTGGCTTATTTTATTAGTGGAGCAGCCATGTTAAATGTGTTGCAGTGCAGATCAGTACGCAAAGGAAAAACAAAAACAACTAAATTAGAATGAGGAAAGTTCAGTTTATTTTTATATCAGCAGTCGTTGCCAGTGCCACCAACATCGCCTTTGGAGTAAACTAAATGTCCTCATTTTTGTTAACCTTCCTACTTTGTTATTTAACATGCGATATTCGTATTACGAAACACTTCCATGAAAATTCTTGTCCATGTTATTTGGGCTGGCATTTGTTGCTACTCCGTATTTCATAGCGCGAACCTCGTTTTATGACCCTTCTCTGAGGCACTTTGTTCTTGGGAGTTGTGTTGGGGTCGGAGAATAGTTCAGAAGTCACTTTTTGAGCTGCTGTTACAAAATACAAAATTGGACTTCATAGTAGAGTGAGAACGTTTGTTGACTCGGCATTTCAGTATCTTACCGATATTGTTTACATTAATGTTTAGTGGGGCTAAAAGTTGTATTGAAGCCATCGTACGTACAACTCTAAAACGCATTAGGGAATAATTTTAATGATGTTACAGCTGTAGAATGCAGTCGGATAATTTCAGTGCCATAATTCATTCAGGACTATGACAACAGTCTGTTACGTAGCACGATGTAACTTGCAGTACGATCCACAACCAACCCACCCACCGGGATAAGCTGGCACATTCGAGGCATGGTATCTTAATTATGCATTGATTTATTCTTGGCGATCCCAGATTTCTTGCGTCAAATACAATAGCTTTTTACTTCTTTCCCCCCTTATAAATATTCGTGATGTTTTGTGGGTACAGAATTTAGCCTTTAGCAATTTAAAATATTCATTATACAAGATAAACATGATTTGAACTGTGTATGATATGCAAATGTAACTTACGCTATGAATGAACACACGTAATAAGGGGCATTTCAATAAAATTACCATTTTCTACGATATCTAAACTTAAGAGTAATTTCTTATTTGCTTCATATAGGCTATACATTTTTAGAATCAACTACGCGTGTTGCTGAAGTGTTCAGTGCCACTGTAGAAATAAGTAGAATGATTATTCTTCATGTAACGTAAACAAATCGGAACTGATTTAGACATTTACAGTGTAGAATCAGGGCTTTCCTGTGTAATGCTAACCTTTATTAGTGACTAATTTATACAAGGTAAACTTCCCATTACTTTAAAAAACGTCTCATACTCTGTGCTTAGAAGCAGATGTTTCCAATTGTGTAATTGAATGTCATTTTAATAGGGAATTTTTATCATAG